ACCATTCCTCCTTGACGTTGTCAAAGAATTACAGTCTGAGGAAACTCGTCTTGGTCTTCTTTCCTCCTCGACAGTTTCTGATTCAACTGCTATTTTGGCTGCTCCACCATGTGTTCCGCCTACAGTTTTGGCTGCTCCACCACGTCCTTCGCCTACTCGTGGTCCTCGCCGCCTTTCATGTACGTATTGTCATCGTCCTGGTCATGACGAGTCACATTGTTGGAAGAAGAGGAATGCTTCACGTCTTTCTGCATCACCACGAGTCACTACCGCATCTCCAATCTCTCAACCTATTACTCTGGTTTCTCTCTCTACAGATGACCGTATTGCTGCTCTTGAGGCCTAACTTGCCCGTTTGAGTCGTTCTCTACCCAGGTCTTTTTCCGATTCTGGTACTTCTACAACTCTCTCATCTGCTGGAAGCACCGCTGCAGCTACTCCACCTTTAGGTGATATTTCTACTACTTGGGTACTTGACTCGGGAGCTGCTAGACATATGTCTACTTTCGCTGTTTTTCTCACTAAGCTCTCTGAGCTCAAGCAACCAGCACATTTCTTTACTACTAATGGTTCTCCTCTACTAGCTACCCGACAGGGTACTCTTACCGTCTCTGAAGATTTCAATGTCCCTGATGTGTTACATATTCCCTCTTTGGCTCTCAATTTATTATCTGTTGGACAACTCACTGATACTGGATGTACTGTAAGCTTTACAAATAGCTCTTGCTTTGTGCAGGATCGTTTAAGTGGCAAGATGATTGGCAGGGGCAGTAGACGGGATGGACTTTATATTATGCAACATCTCCATCTTCCAACTTCCTCTCTTCATCATCCTGTGTTGGCTACCCTCGATCTTGTTCGGTGGCATCAGCGTCTTGGACATATTCCGTCTTCTCGTCTCACCGTCCTTCACCAACAAGGTGCTTTGGGTCCTATTTCTTCTGGTAGTCTTCCTCCATGTTCTATCTGCCCTTTGGCCAAGCAATCTGCTAAGCCTTTTCCTGTTAGTAACTCTAGAACTAGTGCGATCTTCGATCTTGTTCATTCTGATGTTTGGGGTCCTGCCCCGCTCTCTTCCAAGAGTGGTTTCAAATATTATGTATCTTTTATTGATGATTATTCTCGTTATACATGGGTCTATCTTATGCGTCAACGTAGTGATTTCTTTACCATCTATCAGTCTTTTACTTCCATGGTTTCCACACAATTTAATACAAAAATCAAAGTTTTCCGTTCAGATTCAGGGGGAGAATATCTCTCTGGTGTCTTTCGTTCCCTCTTAGCTAGTGATGGTACACTTCCTCAGTTATCTTGTCCTGGGATTCCAGCTCAAAATGGAGTTGCTGAACGCAAGCACCGTCATATTCTAGAGACCACTCGAGCTCTCTTACTTGGCACATCCGTTCCCACTGAGTTCTGGGCTGAGGCTCTTCTCACGGCTGTTCATCTAATTAATCGCCTACCCTCATATGTTCTCCATCAAGACACCCCGTTTCAGCGTCTCTACTCTCGACCTCCTAGCTATAATCATCTTCGAGTTTTTGGATGTACTTGTTTTGTCATTCTTCCATTCACTGAACGTACAAAGCTTACCGCCCGCTCTATCCCATGTGCATTCTTGGGTTACAGCACTGAGCACAAAGGTTATCGTTGTTATGACCCAAATGCGTGACGTGTACGTATTTCTCGTGATGTTACGTTTCATGAACACATCCATTTCTTTTCAACAAATACTACACCTCATGTTTCGTCTCCTGTTCCATTTATGGATTTTCCTGTTGATCCTCTACCTGATCCTTCTAGTCCCTCTTCTACATCGGATCTAGATATATTGCCACCTTCTCCATCTTCACCTATCCCTTGTGCTTGCACCTCCTGTTGTATCTGCCCTCGACGATTCTGCACAACTAGAGTCACGCCGTAATCCTCCTCGAGATCGGCGTCCACCTGCCCGGTATGTTCTTTGCTACTTCTTATTCTACGAGTTTGGATCCTTTTTAGCTGCTTGTTCATGCTTGTACAAGAACCTAATAGTTATCGCGAGGCAGTTCAGCATGTAGAATGGCGCCAGGCTATGTCTGAGGAACTCTCGGCTTTGGAGAGTACTGGTACTTGGGAGCTTGTGCCTCTTCCTCCGGGTCGCTCGCTCGTATCTTGCCGATGGATATATAAGATTAAGACTCGTTCTGATGGCAGTATTGAGCGTTACAAAGCTCGTCTGGTTGCTCGAGGTTTCTCGCAAGAGTATGGTATCGACTATGAGGAGACCTTTGCTCCCGTAGCAAAGATGACATATGTCCGTGCTTTATTAACTGTTGCTTCAATTCGCAGTTGGCCTCTCTTTCAGCTTGATGTGAAGAATGCTTTTCTTCACGGTGATCTTCAGGAAGATATCTTTATGCAACCTCCGCCTGGTCTTGCTCATACCTCTAGACAGGTTTGCCGCTTGCGACGGGCTCTTTATGGTCTCAAACAGGCCCCTCGTGCTTGGTTTGAGAAGTTCAGTGATGCTATTCAGTCTGCTGGTTTCATTCAAAGTGAGGCTGATCATGCTATGTTTGTTCATACCTCTTCTTCAGGCTGCACTATTCTTCTTCTTTATGTTGATGATATGGTCATCACCGGAGATGATCGTGACCATATTGAGCATACCAAGCGGCACCTTCAGCAACATTTTGCCATGAAGGATCTAGGACCACTGCGCTATTTTCTTGGGCTTGAGATTGCTCGCAGTTCACGTGGTATTCTCATTTCTCAGCAGAAATATACCGCTGATATTCTGTCCAGGACTGCTCTATCAGATTCACGTACTGCTGCCACTCCTATTGAGCTAAATCAAAAGTTTTGCCCAGACGATGGAGAACCTCTTTCTGATGTCACCCGCTATCGGACCTTGGTTGACAGTCTTATTTATCTTACTATCTCCCGACCCGACATCGCCTATGCTGTTCATGTTGTCAGTCAGTTTGTTGCTGCTCCCCGAACAACTCATTATGCGGCTGTTCTAAGGATTCTGCGCTATCTTCGAGGCACTTTATCGCGTTCCTTATTTCTACCATCCTCTTCTGCTCTCAAGTTGTATGCCTATTCTGATGCTGAATGGGCTTCCAATGTCACTGATCGCAAATCTATCACTGGTTATTGCATTTTTCTTGGCGATTCACTTATTTCTTGGCATTCCAAGAAACAACATATTGTCTCACGCTCCTCTACAGAGTCCGAGTATCGTGCTATGGCCAACACTACTGTTGAGATTGTTTGGCTTCGCCGCTTACTTGCTGATATGGGAGTTTCACTTCTGGATCCTACTCCTCTGCATTGTGACAACAAGAGTGCCATTCATATCGGTGCAAATCCAGTCTTTCATGAGCGTACCAAACATATTGAGATCGATTGTCATCTGACTCGTCATCATCTCCAAGCTCGCACTATTTCATTCCTTTTGTTGGAACTGAGAATCAACTTGCCGATTGTTTTACGAAGGCTCTTACATCACAACAATTTAAATTTCTTCTTTCCAAACTCTCGTTATTTGATCCACCTTGAGTTTGAGGGAGGTGTTAGAACATGTTGTATAGTTTTGTAGGTTTTCCTTTACATCTCTTCTTTCTCTTTAGTCCCACATAGGAAGAATGCTAGGCTCCTTTATTCCTCTAAGCCTATATAAAGGCTTCTCATGTACATTGTTTCCTACACCGTTATAAGAGAATAAATACCATTCTCTTTTAATCTTTCTTTCTTATCAAGTGCATCAAATTGTTTGTCAAGCTGCCAAAAGACAACCATATAATTTATGAAGTAGTGCACAAATACTAGCTGAATATTCGAATAAGTAAGGCATTTTGAAGTATACATTTCTAGCTCAAAATGCCTTACTTATTCGAATATTCAGCTAATATTTGATAATAGCTCAGAACAAACGACTGTTTGAGGTGAACGAATGCTAATATATTAGGACCTCGAATAAACTGAATCAAGAAATATTGTTCTATTTAAAGATAATAGCTGAATTAAGTGAGACGAAAAATGTCAAGTTCAATCGACAGTATTTTAGCTCACAGTATGATGCGCTTTCGTCCTATTTCTGACGAAATACCCGAAGGACTCCCTCGATTCTTTTCCCATCTCAATTCTTTTAATTGATCCGATTGAAGTAATCGAGCTAATTGTCCTTTTCGCTTACGCGGCATGAACGGCGGAACGCGGAAATGCTTAGTAAAATCGACATGTTGTGCCGCGTCAGTACAGTCTAGAGAAACAAACAAGTAGTGGAAAGAGATGCTGGCGGCCGACGTGACATGTAAGGGACGAATCGAGACAAATTTGTACCTCACGAGTGAAATTCAGAGAATCCCTATTCTTATCTTTTAACCCAAAAGACGATCCAAATCAAAGATGGGGTTCATTCTAATGACCTTTCTTTGTCCAATACATGAGTCCATGTACGGTGGAAAAAAATCGCTTGTTCATGTCGGCCGTCGCTGTTGTTTTTGTGTTGGATGATGAAAGTTGCTATCGCATCACCTACCAACATATTTCTTGTTTATATGGAAAGAGTGTGGTTTGGTCCAAGTGAAATGAACCGTGTGCTTTGTTTTATTTATTTATTCATTTATTATCTTTTCTTACATTGTTTCACCTTTCTTGTCCATTTTCCTTTTTTTTGCATATTTTTATTACCCAACAGGAGATTTGTCATTAATATATGATAAACCGATTTAGTAAACCGACAAAGTATCGTTAGCACTTTTTTTCTTTTGGTCGAAACGATCTTTAGCACTTTGAATAATCATATTTTTGAGCAATCTCAAGCACTTGATAATTGTCAAGTCAAAAATAAAAATTAAATCTCGCCCTTTGATGAGAAAACCCTTGAAATGTTTGCGTGTTATGACATTTTGCTTAGGAGTTAAAAAAAATACAAAAAATTATGACCTGTTATGACCTGAAGATCCATCTCTCGATGGATCATAGAACCGTCGTTTTTGTACTCCGTTCAGTTGAATTAACCACGAGAATAATAATTGAAATAATCTTTCACTAAATAAAATATCGAAACGATTTTGCTACAGTCTTTTAGAATGGCTTCTGCAAGTGCATGGACATGTCCCGAAGAGGCGAGAACTGAGCCAACTGAAACTGTCCTTGCGCGAATGCATCGTCCAAGAAGTTATCCATCGAACCGAACTGGACATCGAGGGCCTTCCCCCAATCGTTCCACTTCCCCTTGCTCTGCACTTCCTTCTCGCACACCATTTCCGGGGACACCACGTGCTCCGAGCAGCTAGAATCCGCGTGCAGCCTCGGCACCGACTCCGACGAGTCCATGAACATGTGATCCGTGGTCATTGGTAAATGCCCGTATCGTGGAGGTGTGTATGGGTTCAGCACCGCTGGCATAACAATCTGCGGCTTGGTCTCCATTCCCCGGAACTCTGCCGGTTTGTTGTGCGTGACGGGGAAATGCTTCTCCATGGTGCCCTTCTTGTTGTATATCCGGCATAGAACCCAATCGTCAAGCTGCAATAATAGCAAGGATCGATGTTAATCATTGAGTTTCGTTTACGAACTCGTCCAATTACATGTGCGGGAACACCAGAAACAGTGACAAGAAGGGAAAGAGAGTAATTACCCTCGAGTTGTTCTTCTTGCTGGCGGATCGATCGACGTTGGCAAGGCGATACTCGTGCATGATCCAATTGGTCTTCACTTCATCTCTTGGAGCTTTCCCGGCGTAAAACACTAGCGCCTTCTTTATGCCGAGCGTCTTTGGGTGGCCGATCGGCTTATCGACCCCGGTCGCCTTCCAATACCCAGTTCCGGCTGCCCGGTTCGGCCGCGACCCATTGGGGTACTTGCGCTCTCTGGGAGAAAAGAAGTACCATTCTTTTTCGCCGTAGGGAGCCATTTCTGCAATTCCAAGCCAAACTCCATCAGAAATCATGACCCTCAGCAGACAAATAAGTTGTGTTCGAATTCACGAGAGAACTTGAAGACTAAAATGAAAATGAAAGCCGCCATGCTTGATCCTTGACAACGAGAAAGCGACTGAAGAAGTCACCCCTTTTCTTGACCCACGTGTCAAAATGAAAAGTTCAAACTGTCGAGCATTGGACCTCCCTAAAGGCATCAGATAAGGACTAGACAACAAAATCACCCAAAAGAGTGACAAAACTCGTCGACCCTTTTCCCAAAATAGGATGATTCGCCAAAACGAACACAAGCTAGAAACAGAAATTGTTCAGGAGCAGAACCTCGAGACGCAGAGGAAGGGAGGGAGCGTGCCGAAGTACCTGGAAGGTCCCAAGGGTCGAACTTGTAGAGATCGATCTCGGCGATGATGGGGGCGGTGATGGGCTGGGAAGCGCACCTGCGGATCAAGTAATGGTTCACCAGCTCGTCGTCCGTGGGGTGGAACCTGAACCCCGCCGGCAACTCCAGTTGCGCCTTCTTCATCTTCCCTCTCTTCTCTCAACTCTGTCAGACTCCGTGTTCCTGTTCTTCCGCGACTCTCTGCTCCGTGCCCTTTCACTTCCAAGCTCCGAACTCGGTCGACGTTCGAACTCGAATATGTCCACACGGACACACGAGACGACCAAGGGGGTATATATACACGAACACGGACACCGCGCAACGACAGGTCGTAGTGTATCTGAATCGAAAAGGCAAGGAGGAGGGCACGACAAACGACGACAAACAAGAGGCAGCCGCCACCTGAGCTTTTTCCAGCAGCAAGTCGTGACGGCAGGTGCCGATTGGGCCAATCACGGGCCGACACGTGTTGGGGAGGGGGCGACTCCCACCTTGGGTTTCGTCTTTGTCATGGCGTCCGTCAGCTAATTTTGGGACTCCTTGCCCTTTTGACCCCCTTAAAAACCTTTCAATGGGTCGAGCCCCTAGGGTACGTTCGTTAGTGACTAAAAAATTTATGGTTAATATCATGAAAAATCTTAAATCTATATACATATGACAAATTTATTTCAGACTAATTTTTTTATCATAAAAAACTCTAAATTAGTATATTTGTGATAAATTTACCTCAAACTTATACATTTGTGACAAATTTACCCTATGCTAGATTCCATTAAATTAGATTAATACCACAAAAAATCATAAATTAGTACACATGTAACAAACAGAGGGTAAAATCACAAACCGGTACACCCATCAACTAACACATGTCCTCAAATTCAACAATTTGAAACTAAAATTTAACGGAAACTAATGAAGCGCAAGTTTGTCACAGGCGTACTAGTTTAGGGTTTTTTATGATAAAAAATTAGTTTGGGTAAATTTGTTACAAATGTACCAGTTTAGGGTTTTTCGTGGTATTAACCCTAAAATTTAGGATAGAATTTTTCATACCATGTGCTTGTTTTCAACTCACAACCTGATAAAATTAGATATAAGAGAAATATAACCTGAATAAAAATATTACATGAAGGAGGTTGGATTAAGGTGGATATGATTTATTATATTCATGTTATAAAAGTAATTTTTCTCAAATAAAAAACTTCTTAAATTAATAATAATTAAATATAGATAATATTTGAACTCTAATATAAAATAGAAAATTAAAAATAACAACAACAACAACAATTTCGTTTCTATTTATTCTCCATTTTTTAATATATTTTGATTTCTTTCTATCTTATAATATAAATTATATATGTTTATTACATATTTTAGGTATGTTAGTATAGTTTATTATATAATTAAATTAAATTTAGGAATGATGAAAGGGAATAAAAGAATAAAAATAAATAAATAATAGATAAAAGAGGGGGAAAATAAACAAACATTAAGTAAATCAAAATGAAGTAAGCGAGAAAATTGAAGCATTATACCTTTCAAAATAGAGAAGGTGAAAGATCATGTTTTTTCTCTCTTACTAGATTCGACATTCGCTAATTGATCTAACTCGTCAATGTTGTCGTAGCCCATTTACATTTCTTGTCACAGTCGAATCTATAGCTATAAAATGCTACAAGGAGCTCTTTTGCTGTTTAAGATTTAGATCGTACAATAATCATGAATTTTTTTATAGACGTTATCTCCGCTAGTGCATTTGTGGTTTCTTTTGCAATGGATCCCGAGAGATTCTTATCATGATCGTTTGTGCATTTTCAAGTTTATTTATATTGTATTTCATGTGACAGTGTTTTAGTTTCTAAACAATATCAATCTACACCTTAAGACTCTTAGGCCTCAAAACTTTCTGATGCACAAAATCCGCGGAATGGCAACTGGAAAACAAATTAGTGAAACGAGCTCATCTTTTCGAACCAATAAAAAAACGAACTCATCTTGTATTCTCATATTATGTCCGCACTAATACACCCAAATCGCAAATTTCGAGATAAAAATCACGTTCACGGCTGAGATGATTAAAAAATTTTGTCGCATAACTCACAAACAGGAAATGCATTTGTATATGCTTTATTTCTATCTCATCTTATTTTAATTTCGGTTTTTGCCAATCATCTTGTTCTCACATGGCCCTGCCAAATCAGCTGTATGAGCATAGGTTACAGATCATCAAAAGCATACATGGCTTTGAGAGTGGCTCTTTAGTGGAAACCAACTAAATCTAAAAAATCTACAAGTTACAAAAGCCAAATACAAGGTAAAAAATCAAACACATTGACGCGGTTGAAGCCAATGCTCGAATCTCTGTTATATAACGAAATGTCATCGATTATCGGTACTTGATAACACCATATCCTTCTTGTGATATTAAAGAGGTAAGAAAAGATGTGCACGTTCGACATGTTTGAAATATATACAAGTCATCGATTCCTTGATTTTAGAGAAGGCCTGTGTTTTCGTCTTTTATCTCCAATCGATGAAATCCTCATACCGAATCTCTAATTAGTGGGTTATAAATATTGGTATTGCCCCCATGCTAACTTCGCTTAATCAGAAAATTGGTTGGAGGAGATTTGCTCGAACCATGGATGATTGTTTGGTCAAAATAGTGCTGGAGAAGCTTCGCCTTTGACCAGTTGTTTGTCAATGCTAGCAAAATATGAAGGAAGTCATTGTATGATTAGGACAGAAGTTGATGTGAGCGACGTGTTCCACGAGATAAGCATACATGGGATTGCGCAAATATAGTGAGGATAAACATTAGAGGAATCCACTTGGATCTTGCCCAATTTATTTTCTTGCATTATATCGCGCCCAGTATTACTTAAAGAAGAAAAAAGAATTGAGCCCTTATTGCCCTCAATTAGCTAGCACGGAAGTGTAACCGTCCTTACGTAAAACCTTATTTCGCCGGACAATGAAATCTCATTCTATATCTATATTTTGGGTGCATGTCAAGCATTTTTATTAATTTAATCTTGCCCTTGGCCATTTGTGATTATCATTTTGTGGGACCAAGTTCTTTAGTTCAGCATATTCAATTTCAAAAGTTTCATAGATTCGAAAAACAAAATCATATTTAAGTTGGTGTTTTTTCTACGGAACAATGATTATCTAGATCTCATTAACAATTCTCACCGACGATAACAATTCTTTGGCCCCACACGTTGAGTAATTATCAGAGACACACAGGTCTGTGCTCCTTCAGGTGGCTCTAAGAGAATGCATAAGTGTGATTATTCGAACCTAGACGTCAAACAAGAATGACGAGCACACTTACTAGTTAAGCAAAGATGGTGCATCGACCAAAAACCTTCGGGTTTACATACTTGATTTGGGTTGGCAAGTGATTTCCAGTTCATGAACCGGAGATACATGTTCATATCTCACCATTTGCATGCAAATTATTTTGAACCGAGTCATTTGCACAGATTAAAAGGTTAAATTTAACCGGCACGGAGAGGTTTTCATAAGTCTCTAATTGGGTCTTCTATGTGTATCGAATTATTTGTCAAGTTGCTACAAGATGTTTTATAAAGTGGTTCCCAAATCCTAGCTAAATATTCATTGGATTCCACGCAGTAGATTGACCCCCGTCATAATGAAACGGGGTCCCGTTTGGGACAGATGCATACATGTGCAGATATACGTCACCTATATCACTAGCGAAACGACCCGTCGCAGTAGCAAGAAGAGTAAACAAAAACGATATTCCCCTTCTTGGCCAAATTGAGGGGAGGGTTAATCACAAGATAACATATGTCACATTCGAAATTACTTCTATATTGATTAGGAGTATTACAGTGTCAGAGCTTATGTTAGAACTTCATAAGTACTAATCTCGTTTAAGCAAAGATGTAATCGTTTAAGAGAAAAAAAGTACTTAAGTTAGAGCTTCAAAAGTACTAATCTCATTTGCCTCGTGACAATTCAATCCTTGGTAAATTAAAAGGACGCAAAAGGTACGAAAGTTTAGCGAATCGATCACCCTTTCCCGCAATCGTGTCATAAACACCATTGGAACCAAAAGAGAGCCACGACTGTTTTTATATGTATGAGGTGAATCGAGATATTAATATGTTAGGACCTCAAATAACTAAAACGAGCTGGAGAGCGGATAGTTGTCTTAAAAGTTCTAAATTTATTGTACGACGACCAATTCAATTCTAAATTTTTTAATTTGGCCATTTATTTCTAAACCTTTTTAACGTTTTGCCAATGTAGCTCTTGCATCCAATTTTTTTTTCGTTTTCTTTTCTTTTTTCCTATGTCCCTTCGCCAATCCAAGGCCCCAAAGATGGCCAATGAGGGCGTCCTAGGCCTAGCTTGCGGCCAGCGACCTCCGTTGGTCACCATCGGGGCTCCAGACATGCAAAGTGAAATAGGAAATAAAGAAAAAAGAGAAAAGAAATAAAATAAAAGGAAAAAAGAAAAAATTCAGAAAATTCGCAAAAATTGTCAACATGAGCGATTTCTAGCCAAAATTGGATAGAAGGGCTACATTGGTAAATTAATTGTCGTATAATTAAGCTTAGGACATTTTGAACATTTTTTCCAAATTGAGAGGGATAGATCGATTTACAGATGATAGTTGAATTAGGTGAGATGAAACACGTCACATTCATGCTCCTTTTGTTTCACAAAAAATATTTTTCGGGAAAACATTTTCCTCTTTTTCCGGTATTTGGATTGCTTAGTAAAATGAATGAACGGAAAAGGTTTTCTTAGTTAAGGCCCAAGACTATATATTAAATCAGGAAAATGATTTCCTCTTTAAAAAAATTGAAAATCATTTTTCAAAATATGACTAGATATTGACTTTAGGACAAAAAACTCTGCACTTGAACGCAGGAACTCTAACACTCGTTCCTAGGCCCTTGGCAACAAGGCCGGGTCTAAAGGTCGAGGCCAGGCCTACCAAGGTCCAACGAGGGCAAGCGTGGGTCCATCGAGGCAAGGCCCAGTACCTCGGCACCCAAGCCCGAGTCCGTCACGGTCAGGCCCGGGACTCCCATGCTCATGCTTGTGACCTCGGCACCCCAACTCAAGTCTATCTAGGCCAAGCCAGAGTACGTTAAGGCCTAGTCGGGACCCCCGTGCTTGGGCTCGGGTCCCCAACGCCAATGCCTTGGACCACCAAAGTCGAGCCTCAAATCCCTACGCCAGGAACTAGTTTCTCAACACCCGTGCCCGGGTCCTCGGTGCCTAGGCTCGAATCCATCAAGGCCAAGCCCGGGTTCCTAGTGCCCACATTAGGGTCCATCAAGGTTGGGCCCGGGACCCAGTGGCTATGCCCGAGTTCCTAGCGCCCTAGCCTAGGTCCATCGAGCCCAGGCCCGGGTACATCAAGACCGGGCTCGCGACCCTAGTGCCTGTGCCCAAATCCCCCGCACTTGTGCTCAGGTCCATCGAAACCAAGCCTAGGCCTTCGGCTTGGGTCCATCGATGCCGAGCCTAGGTCTCCTTGTACCCAGGCTTAGGTCCATCAAGGCCAAGCTCAAGACCTTGGCGCCTTGGCAGGGTCCATCGATGCCAAGCCCGGGACCCCCGCACCTATGCTCAAGTCCCCAACGTCCCAACCCAAGTTTATTAAGGCCGAGCTTAGGTCTCTGGCCCCTGTGCCTGGAACCATTGATGCCGGGCTCGGGTCCATCAAGGCCGGGCCAGGGTCCATTAAGGCCGGACCTGAAACCCCGATGCCCATGCCTGGATCCCAAGCGTCCCGACCCCACCTCGATGGACCCAGGTCCGGGCGCTAAGGTCTTGGTCCCAAGCACCGGGGTTCGAAGCCCGGTGTCGATGGGCATGGGCATCAGGACCCGAGCATCGGCGCCAGGGTCCTAAGCCCAAGCGCTAGGGTCCGAGGCTTGGCCTCTGTGGACCCAAGTCCGAGCACCAAGGTCCCAAACCCAGCCTTTGTGAACTCGGGACCATTGCCGATGCTCGTGCTTGGGAGTTGGGATCCTGGCTCGGGACCCTAGTGTCCGTACCCGGTTCCCTTGCTGCTAATGCGCAAGTCACTAGCACTTGAATAGTTCGTGTCTATTTAGAAAAATTAAATTGAATTTTCCTTACCAAACGACGAAAATATTTTCCAGTATATTTTCAGCTTTCAGTCAAACACCGAAAAATATTATCATTTTTCTAGAAAATGTAATTACTTCTTAGAAAATATTTTCTAGAAATGTCACATTTTTTGCAAAACAAGCAGAGCCTCAATAGATAGTAAATTTGGAACTCATGATCTCTTTATTCTGAAGTCACGAAGGAATTACTCAGAATGCTGCCAATTTTTTGCAAAAAAATAAAAAAAGAGGAATAATAGACCCGTTTGTTTAGGATTAAGTGAAAGCAAAACACGGTACTCTTTTCTTTTCTCGCCAAACTTAAAAATATTATTTAGATTTCTAAAATGAAAAAATATATATATATACGTGAATCTGCGTATCAACATTGGCATTATGCGAAAATTTAAAGTGCTTGGATTTTAAAGAAAATAAAAGTGTTGTAAGGATAATCTTCAGTCTATTCAGAAAGGCAGAAACGGCAGGGTAGGTAACATCCACCCTTGATTAGATTAGATTAGCCACGGAAGCTTCGGGCCGTGCTCGGCGATGCGAGTGACGTAGGGCATGACCTCAATTGTCCATGCACGTGACGTTGGACACGCCCCCCACTAAACATGTCCGGGTTTACCGGGGAACTGGACTGGACCACCCGAAAAATAGGTCCGGGAGCCATTTTCGTTTTTTGGGAACCGGTTGGAACCGATCCAGTTCCCGATTCCAAGTGAAGATCCACCCAAACCAGTTTTGGAACAAGTTTTTAGCTTGTGTTAGAAAAAAAAAAAACCGTAGATCATCTTGTTACTTACTATATTTTCGATTGTTGCTTTTGATGGATAGTAATTTTATTGCTCATTTTAGAGATTGTTGCTTTTGACGGATGGGGTAATTTTTATTATCCATCTTTTACTTTGAATCGTTCCATTGCTAGTCATATTATTATTTTGCTGAAAAAAATGAAACCAGAAAAAGGAACAAAAGAAAAATAGGTTTTCGAGTAGGCCTTGAAATCGGACCGGAAAAATATGGTAAGTTCCAAAACAGGTTCCAGGACAAATAGGATCGGTTCCATATTTCAAAAACTGGGAACTGGTTATAACAGGGTGGGTTTCAGGTCTGGAACCTACATACCTTGGAACCAATCACCCCGTACCATATCTCGAATCGCGCTGACAATTTTCCGAAATTACAGTCGGGTACTCTTTCATTCCGATCAAGTTTTCAAAATTCTCCTTTCTTCTTACCCTCGAACCCCTTTCAATCGGTGCGGTCGAGCCTTCTTATCCGCCGATTGTCCTTTTCGCACAACAATGGGCCGTGGAAGTGCTCAATAGAAACCGACGCACCGAACCGTACTTGAGAAGTCCCGAGAACAGAGATTCCAGGGATTCGAGATGCTTGCATCCGGCGCGATCCGGGCCGGACGGATCGGGACAAATTTGTACCTCGCAAGAGAATCCCAATCCTTTTAGTCTGATCCTTTTAACATAAACGACGGTCCAAATCGCAGATGGGGTTCGTTCTAATGACCTTTTGCTTTGCGCAATAGGCACGTACGTGACCCCGGTCGACAACGCACGAGTCCACCATTCACGGGAGAAGATTCACTTCGGTTCATGTCGGCCGTCGTTTGCTGTTCGCGTGACGGGATGATAGAAAGCGACACGTGGTGCTGTCCAAGTGAAATTAACCACGTGCTTTAATTAATTTCATTCATTTATTTATTCATTTATTTTATTTTATTTTTCTCGATTTCCCCCACCTTCCTCGGAAACTTCGCGCCGATTCCGATTTCCATATGCGAGCCGCCACGTTTGAACGCCCCGAGAATGGGCCGAAGAGGGGCACGCGCGATTGGGCCGTGACGGATAAATGGGCCCGAGGCCCAATTGATGGGCCTGGAGTGGGCTGATGGGCTTTTGACGGGAGGCCCAATTCGCTGGCGCGAAGGATCGCGGGGGGGGGTTGGGGAGGGGAGGTAACGTCTCGTTCCCGCTCACTCGCGATCGGATTTGAACGACATACCAGAAAAAACCAAGAACGGGAAGAGGCCTATCTCTACTCGCGCACTCTCCCCATCCAACCTCATCCTTCATCCTCTTCTGTTTCGAATCAAGTTCCGTTTTTTCTTGTTACCCTCGTTTGTTCTCTCGGCGAACTTGCTGGGGTCCATCTCGCATGGACAATCCCGAGGGCGGCGGCGATTCGGCGGCCCCTCGGCACCAGGTTTTTTGGGTTTCAAATTCTGCTTCTAGCATTCTGTATCTCTGTCGGGTCGGTTTTTCTCGGGGTTTTAGTCGGTCCGGACGTGATCCGAGTCGGGCTTCACGTTCCTCTTCCTCGGCTGTTGACCAGCCCGATTCTTGAGCCGTCGGAGTGTGAATTTTGTTGCCGCCTTGTTGAATGGGCTTTTGGTGTCTGCAGGGATCGTGCCCCGTCTTCGGTTACTTCGGCAGTCTTCATCCTCCGGATTCGGTAGATTCTTGGTTGCAAGGCGGTGATCGTGACCCTGATGGCCAACTGCTGTGTGGTTTGCCGTCGAAAGGGCAAGCTATGGAAGACCATGGTTTCGGTCGACAAAATGCGGTTCAGAGAGTCAATAGCTGTCCTGTTGTTTACCAAGACTGGCATCAGAAAGGATTTTTTAGCGACCAGGTATCTGCGGTTTTTTTGTAGTATTGTTTCCCGATGGTAGGAAGTGGAACTGATAGGTTTGATGTTATCGACTGATTATTGCATAGTTAATTCTTGATCGGTATTGAAGTTCAGAATTTTTTTAAAAAGAAGTTACCTTTGATGATTGTGACTCGGTTTTAATCAACTGTCGTTGGAGAATTCATGTGCTTGGATAATATAGATAATCAATGCAGGAAGCGCATCCTCACCCCCATGCTACTCGCCGGCATCTCGACTTCGATGCCGTAATGCCCTGCCGCGTTTCCATTCCTAGGAGCCATGATTCCTACGCAGGCCAAAATCATGCCGGGTACAGTTCAGGAGTACCTCCTCCTTGCCTCCCGAACTCAGGCCATTCGCTTTTGAGCAATGGCGAACTGCAAGAATCCAGTAATTGGCAACAAATTTGCGGTCAGTCTAGTGGTTACGATTTAAAGACTCAATGGCCAACCCTGTTTCAATGAGTCGTTGCACTTCTTGTTTCTTCATAGCCTTGACATATCAATTTCCATGGATTCAGATGCAAGCAAGATGCCACTCCAGTACCCAAGTGGTATGGACAAGCTGATGCAGATGCTAGAGGACTCGGAAAGTAGCTTTGTTTTCAGCAATCCAACCTGGGAAGTCTTCGATCTTGTTGGCGATGGTCAACATGGAGATGGAGCGACTAACACTCTGAAAAGTTGGAGCAGTGAATGCGCTTCCAAATTACAAGATCATGAGAAGGTTGAGGAACCAAACTCGGTCACTCCTCAAAGAAATGGGAGGCAAGGACACATATGACGTGTGTTTGTACACCATATTGACATACTTACTAGTTGCTGAACTAGGTTTATTTATTTATTTATTTTTGGTTTGACTTAGGAGGAAAGCAGCAGATGCCATAGAGGATGGAAGCTGCAAAAGATGCAATTGCAGGAGATCCAAGTGCTTGAAACTGTAAGCAGTACTGTGGTTTGCAAGGTTCTTGTACTTCTTGTTCTGTCCAGTTTTCACGCATCAAAATTTTCGATTTGGGCGTGCCAAGAGATGCTAGTTTCTGTATTATGCAGTTCCTGAATATCGGAACAGCCTGTCTACTTAGATACAGATGGCTAATTCACTGTTTTTCATTTATGTCCTTGATCGGAACAACGAGCAGGTTCCAATAGATTACTGTACTTAACTGAAAGTTCTCTAGTTGTTTTTCCTGCCCAAATGATAGAAGAAGCTTTGTATAGCTTGAAAGATATTGTTGAAACTTTCATGTTGGCAGATATTGCGAATGCTTTGCGGCGGGACTTTACTGTATTGACTCTTGTGCATGCGAAGACTGCTACAACAGCCTTGACTTCGAGGACACAGTTCTTGAAACACGGAGGCAGATTGAATCTCGTAATCCTCTTGCATTCGGGCCCAAGGTTGTTCAGCATGCCACCAATTCTCCTCCGGATAAAGTGGTAACCATCCTTTTATCCGGGAAGTTTTATCTCATTCTTAGTTAATGAGTATGAAGGGAAATCTGAATTCGAGTGGCAATTCAACAGGAAGGCAGTGGGAGTGAGGCGACCCCATCATCCGTGAGGCACATACGCGGATGTAATTGCAAGAAGTCTCAGTGCCTGAAAAAATACTGCGAATGCTATCAGGTTTGCAGCTAATTTAATCTATCAAAAGAATATTCGGTAATTAATCCTTACATTGTAACATTTGGATTTAGCTGTTTTAGATGATTTGGTATAATAGTCAGAACGAACTGTTACATTACTCAGTCAACCTGTTTAAGCTATCGATTTCTGCCTGAAAATTATGGACTTGTCTAGATAAATGTCACACAAATGCAATGTCACTTATTTTAAGTGGATTCATAACATCACAGCGGTAAGATAAACTCTTAAGACAATTGATTTCTGAACCAGTGCATCGAACGGATTTTCCAATAGTTCTATAGCAATCTTACTGGACACTATATTTTTCCTGCTGCAAGGTCAAGGCTGGATGTTCCCATGAATGCAACTGTGAAGATTGCTGTAACCCTTTTAGCCCAAAATCAGGTGAGTGGCACACTTGTGGCTATTATTCTGATAGATCTTTGTGTAGACCGTTAACATCCTTGGCATGAACACAAACCGAACCAATATTTCGCTTCTCTTGATGGGAATCAAGCATCCTTTGATCAAGCACATTTGATTTTCTTCCTTTACGACACTGTGCTTGGGCATCATATAATCATTGCCAATTAGCACATTGACACTTCCGCGAAATAATAAAAATAAGAGCAATAACAGATTGCATTCTTCTTGATATATCCTGCTTGAATTCTCCTTCGATTCTATCACGTGAAGGAAGTCTAATTTTTTATCCATACATGTTCCTCCCTGGGACATGAACTCCAATGAAGCAGAACAAGGGATCGAACATAGGGAAATGTCGCCTTACGGAACGCCGGATAGTATGCAAGGCACGCCCAACTCCAGCGGAACTGGGACCGGAGGTCAGTCTGCTTCGACTTGTGAAGGAACGGTCAATATGCTCGACAATACTCCATCTCCGAGTCCTTTGGCTTATTCCAATTATCTTAACACAGAAGGCAGCTCAAGTTCTTCTCAAGCTGAGGAATACCAAGGAACTGAGCCTCTCCACTTGCCATGTTCACCCATTGATATGCCTCCATCAGACGAAGATAAAGCGTCACATGACCTCGTTGGTGTATCTACCACGCACAACATGGTGAAGGGTGAAAATATTAGTGACATGGGTACTTCTTCGCTGTCCAACCCGGCAAATGCTAGCTCGCCCAATCAGAGACAAGTATCAACTCCGCAGCTTCGGTCTCCTGGACAGAGTCCAAACATCTCCCCAAGCTCAAGACGTGCCCGCAAACCTGACTTGCAGACTCGTCCTTCCCCAGATGGCAAATCCAAAGGCGGTTCAAGTCGAGCTTAAATCAGGAACTGAGGGAACCAGCATCAATCCAGAATAGCACGATCTGAGATGATCGCTCATTGAGCAATGAAATCTTGACTTAGCTTTAGTGCTTTTGCAGTTCAGCGATGAAGACTTTTTCGTCACTTACGAAGATGATAAGCCTTTTGGTTGCTTTTTTAGGATCTTGAATTCGTTCGTAGGTTTATATCCCGTGCCTGCTGCGTTCAACTAATGATAGTCTCAGTCGCCTCCTTTTCCAATGTTTTCCGTAGGCGAAGCTATCAGAATTTAAATTTCCAGAGTTAACTTGTTTTGTCTTTCAGTTTTCTTTGGATCATCGTACTACCGTTTCGACGGCTCGTCATTCGATACATGAACTTCACGGTGTTTGTCATATTCCCTGAAATGCCTTCCGGGCCTGCGTGCACACCTTGATATCAGCACATGATTATGTATGCGTAAACCCGCCAACAACGATGGCTAAAGCCAAATGCACAAGTGTGGACTGTGGAATAAGGCTGCGAGTGCTGAAACTGAAAGTGCAGACTCCATGCGAGAAGGCAGCAGCAGCAGCAGGTGGTCCAAGGTTAGCGGCATGTCAAAGGAGGGCGTTAGGGGTTTACGGGCGTTTGAGCTAAATTTGCGCAAACATAGGAGTATTTTGATCTAAAGGAGTACCTTTAGAAGTTGAAATTCTTAGAAGGGAAACAAGATGCATATAAGGCATAACTAAACCTAGTAATCAAGCTACCGACCAAAAAAAAAAACCTAGTAATCAAGCGATGTGACGTTATACTTTAATAATTAGTTCGCAAAGGACTCGGTATATGTGTGTTGGGAAGAATTAGGGTAACTAAATTGGTTATCCATTTCGAGGATCCAAGATGGTGTTTAGGTTTTTAGCAATCCTTAGGATGATTCAAGATGAGAACGACACGATTAATTGTGCGTTTCCTGCGGTCCGCGTTAAACTATTGATGCACGATTCGGTTTTGAGGAACCTGTCAAAGCCCCTACTTTGAGATGGACCTGGACCAATAAATACGGGTTAGGGCATCTAGGATTTGTGCCTTGGTTAGTCTTCCGTTGCCTAAGTTAGCAATTGGAGATAAAAGTGTGTATATTGTGAAGTGTAGAACGGGGAAGAAGAAGTTTATACGAGTTGTCGAGCCACTATCTATAGGTCGAAGCAATCGGGAGTGTTGATCGATATCTGGCGATCTAATTATGACAAGTGGTAACATGTCATGACAAGTGGCTGCATATCATGACAAGTAGTAACTGTTACAAAATGTGGTAGTCAAACCGTCCATAAGAGCAAATAGGTGTTGAGTCTTCAAATGATGGCTCCACCGGCCCCGGCACTTCCTACGATGGTTACCCGTCGGGGACAAATGACTTGAAATACTATCCCAATGAGCATATTCCCCAAAAAACGCCCATCAGCTAGGATTGTTAACCTATCGTGTATTAGCAGAACGCATGGCGTGGATTCACTAGTCAGTCAAGTCCATTCGTTATCACATCCTCTGTCTGATTAGAGACAAAGTAATCGCCTCCAGGGTTCCGATCTCCCTGGACGGAGTTTGAACATCTCTCCAAGCTTAAGACTTGCCCGCAAGGCCCGTCTTGCCGGCTCGACTCTTCCTTTCCTCGTTCCTCGCCAGAGCGCAAGCCAAAGGCGATTCGCGTCGAGCTTAAAACCAGTTACCGGGGATTCGGGTTTCTAGTCAATCTTTGGATAGCATGATCCGAGCTGAGGTTAGTCGGGCAACTGGATTTTGACTCGGCCAAATAGTACTTCTGCACTGAAGAGAGCAAGAATTTGTCATCTACGATGAAACAGTTATCATCCTCGTTATGGAGACATTCTGGACGTTGGGAAAAATTACCTAACTAATCCTAAACTTATTGAACGGATATCAATTTAATCATAAATTTTTCAATTTTGCCAATTTAGTCTTCAACATTTACGCGAAATTTCTAGCAGATTTTCACCAGAAATCGCTGACGTGGCGGTCCGGTCATCACCGATATTTCTAGGAAAATTAACGAAAAAGCCTTAAACTTATTGCAATTGTGTCAATTCAATCTTAAACTGTTATTTTGCCGATCGAATCCTAAACCTTTTGCATTTTGTGCAAATTCGGTCCATCCAGTCAATTTTGGTTGTAAATCGTTAACATAGATGCCAACCATCTTACGTGGCACGAGCAGCTCTAACGTAGAAATTTTTTTATAATTTTTGAATTTCTATTAATTTTTTTTTTCTATTTTGTTCCTTTCCTTTCTTCTTTTCTTTTGTTTTTCGCCACCGTGGTCGGGCGAGGGCCGCGCCTCACAATGGTTTGGGTAGGCACAGCCGCGAGTGAGGTTGACAAGCTCCACGACCCTCGCGGACCACGGGCGAGGCCGACTTAGCCCGTGGCCAATGAGCTCTGGTGACCCTCGCCAGCCACTGTGGAGAAAAACAAAAGAAAAGGAAAAATAAAAGAAAAATAAAAAAATTCAAAAAATTATTAAAAATCGCCATGTCCGTATCGGCCTTGCCATCTAGGACGATCAGCATCCACGGTAGCGATTTCCAATCGAAATTGGCCAAATGGACTAAATTGATATAAATGCAAAAGGTTTAAAACTCAATTAGCCCAAAAAAGAAAAAAATAGTTTTAAGACTGAATTGGCACAATTACAATAGGTTTACGATTTTTTCTGATAATTTTCTCGTTTTCCTACGTTGACGCCGCCACGCCAGTGATTTCCTGCAAAAAAAAAATTGATCGAAATAACAACATTGGAATTTCGCACACATACATTTAAGATAAAATTGATAAAGTTGAAAAAGTTGAAAACTAAACCGTTACCTTTAATATTGATTGGACAATTTTCCCGACATCATCCAAAAAGGTATGAATCATAGTAGAACAGGCACAGTGGGAGTGGGGCATCGGATTAGGTGCAAACGAAGGGGCCCAAAACAAACAAAGTAATTGCCAGGCTGGGGATCAGCATGTCCTGCTCTCGACACTCACACGTGTGCTCTTTTAATGCGGTCGCAACCCCCCAACAGCCCCTCCCCCTCCCCTCCTCAGAAACCCTTTACTCGCGGTTTCTTGGAGCGTGCGGATCACCCCCACCTTAATTCCTCCGTTATTGTAATTTCCGTCGCGGAAAATAACACGAGCGGTTCTTGAATTTTGATCCGATATGTAATGTCAATTTTGGACTTTTAATTTGTTTAATATGATCTTTGAACTTTGATCCAATATTTAATGCGGTCCCTGAACTTTTAAGCATTTCATATAAAATCGGGGGGGGGGCTATATTGAATATTTGCTAATAGTTTGGGAACCACGTTGAATAAATTAAAAGTGTAAGGGCGGCATTGCATGTTGGGTCAGAATTCAGGGATCACGTTGCATAAATTAGAACTTCATGAACGGCATTGCACATCGGACCGAAGATCGAGAGATTATTTGTGCTATGTTGATCAGAAATAACAACTCGGTGAAACCCCCAATTCATTAGCATCATTTTTTTAATAGGGTTAATATCACGAAAAATCTCAAACTGATACACATATAACAAATTTATTCCAAAATAATTTTTTGACCGCTAAAAACCTCAAACTGATATATTTGTGACAATTTTATCGTAAACTAATTTTTTGACCACCAAAAATCTCAAACTGGTACACTCGTCAACTGCCACGTGTCATCTAACTCAGAAATTTGACGGTAAAATTTAACGGAAACTAATAGAGGATAAAATTGTCACAGGTGTACCGGTTTGTGATTTTTTTATGGTTAAAAAAATTAATTTTTGATAAATTTGCCATAAGTATATCAGTTTGGGGTTTTTTTGTAGTATAACCAAGAATTAAAAGGTAAAGGTCACCCGGTAAAGAACTCACTATAGAAATGCAAAGCGAAATTTACTCGATAATATGAATTTTCATTCGTACAAGGCGTATGCCCACGTATCGTGCAGGCTTTTCCTATAAAACGTAATAAAACAACAACTAAGTTTATTAATATAGGTTTAATGCTTAGTATTTAGAGAAATTTATGTGCATATGAATATCAAATGATACTTCATACTGCTTACATCTTGTAGAAAATTTTGCATCTCAAGTACATTTCCTCGTTACACTATATTGTCATGTACAATTTTTGCATACAAAAGATAAAAAAAAAACCCAAAAATGTTTGTTAAATGAAGAAATACAAATAAAGCCATGAAATAATGAAGAGAGCGAAAGGAAAAAAAATAATAATATGCTCATTAGTGTTAAGGGAGAGAAGAGCTCTAACGTTATCATCTATGCAAAACAGCCAAGAAAAAGTGCAGAGCACTAATATCAGAAGTGATCGGTTTCGGGGTAAATATATTCCAAATCAAGAGTCTCGAACCTACTCTGTCAAACTGATTTCCGAAATTTGGATCCGGGAATGAACCGGGTCCCTTAGGACGACCTGGAATCGAACGATCCGGTTCCAAGCCAATTCCAGAATTATATTTGGGAGCTGGCTCCTAAGTCACCCAAGCTCGATCCATGAGCCTAACATAACTCTTCTTCTTTTATTTTTTTCAAATAAAGTAAAAATAGGTTAAAAACCGGTTCTACCCGAGAACCTAGATTGGACGATTTTCGACAAGCCACACCCCGATTTTTCCGCCCACGAAACTATCCCGGTTCGCTTCGATTCTCGGATTCAACCGGTCCGGTTGCTCGATTGTATCCCCGAGCTTGAGCCGTGTTGATCACGCTCGGAACTCGGCGCTTGGATATATCAAGAGGCCAAAATATTTAATTATTCTTGTTTCCCTTATTTTATTTTATTTTATTTTAATTATTTTTGTAGCATCCCACTGAAGATTATGTCGGGGACCGCATTTCCGCGTGACCCATGCATCATTGTTTCTCTTTTCCCCATCCAACAGTACCATTGGTTCTTGCCCACCGTCAAAGAAAAATCTCTTTTTCTTATTTTTTTTTCAATTAATCTGAACAATTTCTTCGAGATTAACCAATAAGATCTGTTTAAGAAATCTCACGTCACTTGGGTGTGCACAAAAAAATGCTGCACGTGCGTATATTTTCGAGATTAACGGTACCATCACTTTTATGCTTCGCCCCTGAACCCTCAAACCCGCGAACGAATCTTATCAATATTTTAGGATTTATTCCTAATTTTATCGCTTGTAAGAAAGCTAATTAGATTGGTTTTTCTTTGGATTTCATTATCGAATAATGGGATTTAGAAGGAAAAATGGGGTGGGGGGTGTAATTTCTTTCGGTTCTCGTAACGGCTATAGAGAAATG